TGTCCCAAAAATAAATAAACGTTGAAAAAAAAAAAATAAAGTAACCCGGAAGTACTGAAATGAATAGAGCAGGCGCTCTGCCCGCCACAGCACGGTGCCGAAGTCTCAGTGGCCCCCTCCCTGTTGGGCCATGCTGTCTCCTCACACCTGCTCTGTCCCTGGCAACTTGGGCAGGCTCGTGTCCGGCGGTCTCCTGAGACCGTCCTGAGGTCGCGAGATGAGCTGTTAGAACACGTTCTCCGTAACTTCCCTGATGTGTGACACCCACTCAGGACACAGGAGCGCAGTGGTTGCTGGATAATTGATGGCTGTCGGTCTCCGGTTTCCGTGGTTTCGAGATTGTGTTTCTGTTAACGTGGTTCTTGCTGTTGGATGTCGTCTTTAGTCCGTGTGAGAGTTTTCCATCCCAAGTCCAAGTTCACGTCAATACCTGCTTACCCGTGTGTATCACCCGTTAGGATTCCTTGTAAGAGGCTGTTTGAAAAAAGGGAGTCCCACCGCTGCACGCTGACAGCGGCTGTGACCGTCGCTGTATTCTCTTCTTCCAGGTGCTGTTTCTTGATCACCCAAAAAAGAAGATTCGGGACACGCAGAAATACAAACCTTTCAAGAGTCAAGTGAAGGTATTTAAATAAGCACGGCTGTGTGCGTTGTAGTTGTTGGCTGGTTCACGTGATGGTTGGTTTTGGGTGGCCTTCTAAGTTTTGAAACTAAGAAGTGTTTAAAAACAAAAAACAAAACAGAGTTTTACTGAACGTTGCCCTTTAAAAGTCAGTGTGACCAAGGGCCGGCTACCCCGGTCTCTACGGGGAGGCCCCCAGCAGTGGGAAGAAGCTGCCCTCGGATCTGCTCCAGAGGGAGTCACACACGCAGACCCCTTTCCAGGCCCTCCCCTGCGGGCAGACTGGGGTGTCACGTGCCCTAGGTGCCCCGGGCACTTCCGGTGAAGGCACATTGGAGGTCCCTGGGCCGGGGCTCAGTAGGTGACCCCCCCCTGCTGAGGCCTCCACCCCAGCATGGCTGCGTGCTGTCCCCTGGCAGAGCGGAAGGCCATCTTTGAAGCTGCTCGCGGAGAGAATCCTGGGGGTCCGGGTGCAGCAGGCAGAGCACTGTTCGGTAAGTGTCCTGGGGTGACAGTCCTCAGGAATGGGGGCCATCCCTCACCTTGCGGCCAAGGCACTCTGTCGGGGCCCGGATGACTTATTTTTAGAAGGTTGCCGGTCCACAAAAGATGAAATGGTACAGCGGGCTTGCAGAGTGGCCGTTAAGTTCTGGATGTTTGTATGTAGCTCATCAACACTTACGCACAAAAAACTGCCACATGACAGCCCTTAGGAGAAAAAAATCCCCTGTCTAGATTGAAGCCTTTACAGACCGTGCGGCCCAGGCCGGTTGTTCCCCTGGGCCTTGGGACAGGCTCCAGTGACAGGGCTGGGGGGGTGCTGGCACCAGGCTGCTGGCCCACGGAACCCAGCCCCTGCGTCGAGGCCTCGGTCAGCATCCCGCCCAGACCCCCGCTCGCATCTGCGTGTCTGCGTGCATCCTGTCGCATGCTGTCCGATACACCTCACGAGAGGCAGCAGGTCTGTTCCTGCCTCCCTCTGGTCCTTTCTTCCCCCACAGGCTGGCACCTGAGCTGCCAGAGCCCCGCTGGGATCAGACCCCCAGGTGGCTGCTCTGCTTGGCTTTCTCCTTGGCGTGCCCCGCATGTGGCTCGAGGGCTCGGGTCGTGTGTGCCCTGCCCGTCGCCTGCTGGGACGGTCACAGTGGTGTTCTGTGCCCCCTAGATTCAGGATGCCCAGGTGGCGATGAGATTGTATGTCCTGGTGAAGAAGGAGTGGGAGAGTTCAGCCCAGGACAGGCGCCCCACGGCCCCCATTCCAGACAGCCACAGCACCTCCCGTCCGCAGGCGGTTGTGACCACGCACAAGACAGCTCGGGTCTCCCCGTAGCGGCAGCTCTGTTGAAACATGTTCGCCGTCCTGGCGGCAGGGCGTGGGGGCGGCCGAGAACTGCTTCCTCCCTCTGCCATCCCAGACCTGGCGCCCCTGCTGGGGGCAGGCACCTCGGCGGGCTCTGTCCTGAGGACTGACGGCAAGTCGGGGGGCGTTCTGCATTGTGCTGTCCCCACAGCGGGGTGGCATCTTTGCCGGGGATTCGCCGGGTCCCAGGAGCCAGGGGCACCCAGCATCCACTGGGTTTGTAGCATCTTCCTGGGAGGAGGCCAGTCCCCTTTCTTTCTGTGCCTCGGGTCACAGGTCACGTAAAGAACCCCACCGGACTCACGGGCCGCACCCAGCGTGTGCAGTGAGCTGTGCTCCAGCCCCATCTCCCAAGTCTGCCGCGGCCGCCTTTGGACTTGGAGAGATTCTCTGAGGGTGCCGATCCTTTCTCACACCCCCAGCCCCACCCGCCAGGTTTCAACTTGGGGTCAGGGCCCACAGCGCGGCGAGGGAGGCTCAGCTCGTCTGAGCTGGGTGACCATGGTTCCCCCCCAGAGGCGGGTGTCCCTCCCTGTCTGGGACAGATGTGCTGATCCCCAGCTGTGGGGCTGGAGCACCGTGCGGGTCTGTCCCGGGTGTGAGGGTCTTTGAGAAGAGTCGGGAGCCCGGCATATGGCCCGGCTTTACCAAACCGCCTGTCGTGGCACAAGGAAGCCCCGGACCCACGGAGAGATTTAACACAGGCGGGCTTTTACTAGAGGTGGAGTGTGGGGAGGTTACTCTTTCCGCGTTTAGAGTGGTCTGAAAGGGCCGCTTTTTCCACAAGGGCCACGCTGATGGGTCCAGGGCCGAGGTCTGTGCGGAGCCTGCCGAATCGAGCCCCCGGGGCCCCACCGGTGCTCCACACCGCCCCCAGGGCGCCTGGAACCCCCCCCCCCCCACACACACACACACAAAACCTAAGGAAAATGCCGCTCACTGGGCAGCTCCAGGGCCCGACAAGGAAAAGAAGGGCGGGAGAGAAGGTGCGGGGAAGCGGGAGGCCGTGGGGTGTCTGCCTCCTCAGGGCAGAGCCGACTGTCCTCCCGCGGAGCCTGGTGGCGTGCCGGCCTCCAGCCTCAGGAGTACCTTCTCTGCGTAGGAAACCAGCTCCTGGAAAGACAGCCAGTAGGCACCGTGTCTGTGACACTCTTGGGACCTACTCGTAGGTCTTTTTGTGACCGAATCTGCTCTTCTGTGAAGAGGTCCGATTGTCCCCGCCCCTTAGGTTTGGGGGGCCCAGAGACACACGTGAAGTCAAACGGGAAAAGAGTCATGAAAACTACACACACAGAGTGGGTGCTTGGGTGGCTCAGTCGGTTGAGCGTCTGCCTCTCGGTTTTGGCTCAGGTCATGATCTTGGGGTCGTGGGATTGGGCTGCACACGGAGCGTGGAGCCTGCTCGGGATTTGTTCTCTCTCCCTCTGCCCCTTGCCTGCTCGTGCCCCCTCTACAAAATAAAACAAAAAAACACCGTACACAGAGCCAAGTCTGTTTGTCACAGTGTGTCTTGTTCTGGGCCCCTCTGTGCTACCCAGATCTGGCCGTAGAGGCAGTTGGGGGCCTGGTGTGTTGGGCCCCCGCTGACACTCACCAGGCTGGAGGTGAAGCGCTCCTTGATCTCCTGGGCCAGAGGCTGGATGCCACTGGCCCGCAGCTCGGGCAGGATTTCCTCTGTGGGCAGAGCGGAGGGTCCTGAGGTCAGGGCCCAGCCAGCCCGATGCTTGTACAACCCAGGCCGGGGCACTTCTGAGGCCAGTAGGACAGAGCCGGGCGCCATCCCACTCGGGCTTAGCGTGACCGCACGCTGCCTCTGGGGCTCAGCAGCCGGTGACCCCCACGGTCAGCGCGGCACCCGCCGCCTTGAGTTCTGCCATTGAACGCACAGAAGTTGCAGGGAAGGGTTCCTTTCCTTCTCCCCACCAGTAAGAGCTGGGAGCCTCTGACTACTGGCTTCCTGGGGGGATGACCAGGAAAGGGGGACTCGCACCGTAGGACGTGAGGTGGGCCAGCAGCATGCAGATGTTCACCACCACCTCCGGGTCATCCTTGTACAGCCGGTATGTCTCCCGGATGAGGCTGAGGCCGCCGCCGCCCTCCTCTGGCATTGCCACCTGCAGCGCTGCCAGCTCTGGTGGCGGGTGGGGGGGGGGGGGATTCATTTCCTGCAGCTGCCTGTGCCTTGGTGTCTTCCAGGAAGGGGGCTGACGGCAGTCCAGGGTGCTCAGGATGGCAGGGACCTCCGCCACTGGCAGAGGAGGCCAGTTTCCTGCAGCCTGGGGAGCCGCTGAGGCCAGCATTGCCCCACGGGTTGTAAAGGTCGCGAAGGCATCTGCGGGCCCACTGGGACCTGGCGGGAATGTACGCCCCACCTCCCTCCCCCAGCAGAAGGCTCCCGCTCGAGGGCTGGCCTCTGCCCGCAGGCGGAAGAGAAGCGCTAGAACGCATTCCAGAGCGTGCCTGTAGGGTGGGCCTGGGGGACCGCCAACGTGGCACACGTACACCCCCAGTTAGGGGTCAGGCCCTGGCTCTCGAGGGGCCGGAGCCTGGGGGATCTCACACGCAGACTTGAGTTGTCAGGCCGGCAGGTGGCAGAGTCCGTTCCCGCTCACACTCTGGCCCCGGCTTCTGACCACCCCTCCATTGCTGAGCCAGGTCACATCTGCCCTCAGGACCCCAGCTCCCCTTCCTGTCCCACGAAGATCGGCAGCTGCTACAGACCCCGTGTCGGGAGAGGACGACCCTGCTGGCGCCCTTTGGAGCCTCTCCAGGAAGGAGGGCGGCCCCACTCCCGCAGGCCCGGACCGCCTCAGGCCGAGAAGCAGACAGAGGCCTGGCCGCCTGGCCCCCGTCCAGCCCACCCTGTGTACCTGCCCTGAAACGCTGAGTTGGGACCAGACCTCAGAGGGGCTGGAGCACCCCTCACACGCCAGCTGGCGGCCTGTCCAGTCTCGGGTCCCAAGCGTCTCCGAAGGGTTATTGTGCCACGAGACAGTCACGGCCCCTAGCACGGCCACCCCAAGTAACAGCGCTTAGGCTACCGGAGTGGGACCCGTCTCCTGGGTGTTTCCATAAGCTATACCCGTAGGGATACCTGCGCTGACCTAACACCTGTTCAGAGTGTTTATGGGCAGGGAAAGAGAATCTCAGCATAGCATGGAGCTAAAAAACCCCCACAAAACCAGTATGTATGTGAAAAGTCTCCACGGCAACTTCTGGATGATGGGACTATAGGTTGCTCTTTTTCGATTTTGACTTTTTGGTTCTGCTTTTGGTTTGTGGGCAGCTGGCAGACACGACTTGTTGAGTCCTGGCCCCCCGCCTCCTCGGAGTAGCCCAGTCCACTCCCTGGCTCACCGGACACCTTTGCGAGGCTGGCCAGTCCCCGGTAGGCATTGTTCACCAGTGGGATTCTGTCCTGGCAGAGCCGGATGCTTTGGAGGAACAGCGTCACCACATCTGCGAACTGGTGCTCCTTTATGCAGCCTGCGGAGGGCCTCGTCAGGCCTCCTCGCCTCACGGGTGGGGTCCGTGCCGCCCAGCCCAGGCCGCTCACCTAGCAAGGACAGCAGCCAGAAGACCGCGCAGCCGGCTTCAGCCATCTCTGCATCCATGGGGTGGGCGGCCAGCACCTCGGCGATGAGGACCGGGGCTCTCTCCAAGGGGGTCTTGTTCACAATGACGGCTGGGACCGGGACAGGATGAAGGAGGGGACACCTAGCCCTTGAGTGCCCGCAGGAGTGCCTGCTGTGTACGCGACCCCACGCCCCCTGCCTCCCACCAAGGACACCAGGGCCAAAGCTGCTGGGAGAGAGTTCAGGCGAGAGGGGAGTTTGGGGAGGGGAGGGACTGTCTGTCTCCAGGGGGTCTCGGGGAATTTTGCACTTTGGGTGTGGGCAGGCCTCTCTGGTTTCCCAGGGTCTCCGTGGCCCGGAGCCCCCTTCTCCTTAGAACTACTGCCCAGGTGCTGCAGGGCCCAGAGGGCGCCTGGAGGAGAGGGAGCAGCCCAGCCCCTTTTCTGAATCAGAGGCATCCGCCAAGGGCACCCTCAGAAACCAGGGACTGCCCAGGAAATCCCAGGGTGGGTGGCAGGTAGAGGGGCTCCCAGGGCAGGAGCCACCAGAGTCGGTGTGGGCGGGGGGGGGGCACCCCACTCGGATAGGAAGCCTGCCTCCCCTGGGTGGAGCCCCCCTCCCTTGTCCTCCTCCCCTCCTTTCTCTTCCTCTGCTTCCAGGCTCTCAGAAGAGCCTCTCTGTGGGCTCTTGTCCTGAAGTGTTTAAGGGGCAGGACACAGAGGCCCTCGAAGGCTTGCAGAGGTGATCAGGGAGCAGTGAGGACACCAGCCCCCAGGCAGGAGAGGAGGAGGGGACCCTCACCATCCACCATCAGGGCCCAGAGCAGGCTCAGGCCGTTGATGCAGATGTCCCTGTTTGTGGGGAAGGTACTCAGGTGCTCCAGGATATGCTCGAACAGCCCAGCCTCCTGGAGCTCCTCTGAGGCCGATTCTGTGGGCAAGACCCGGAGCACCCCGTCCATCTGTGGTCCTTGCCCCCCACATTTCTGGGCGCCTACTCTGTGCCAGTCATACCCAGTGCGGGGCCCAGAAACTGGAGGACTCGGTCCATCCCCTGGGCCGCCAGTCCCAGTATCGCCCATCCCAGTACTGGGCTGGGACCGGCCTCCCGGGACCACACAGAGCAGGCCTGAGCCTCCTGAGATGACAGCGTGATTGTGTCCCGGCGGGTGAGCCGACACCCAGTTTGCCTGATGGCTCTGATGTATGCCTGTCGTCCTGATGTGCCTCCTCACGGCACCCTTGCCCACTCCCCAAAGGGGGATCCAGCCAGTGTGGTGAGGAGCAGTGCGGGGTCCCTGCCCTTGGCTGGCCACAGGGCTCTAGGTCCCAGGGTTCACGGGCCCAGCTTCCCGCTGGAGAGAGGGCTGCTGACCCGGGGAGGAAGGTGGGAACA